TCCCACCGATTTCGCTCATCTGTTCTCAATATTGTTCTCTGACGTTCCACAGTAAATGGAGTAAAACTCATTACATACTTTCTCAATAAAGAACTGACATAGCATTCTTGTTAATTACACTTTGCCATTCAATTCTTCCTCCAGGTTTATTTGCCGACTGGCGCATTGATGGAAGTAAGAAGTTCTGTGGATGCATCCATGAATCTGTACCTGAAACCATCCGCTGTAGATATTGGGAAAACATCTGGTAAGTTAGTGGGGTTGTTTTTTATATCCCTGTGTTCTTTTGTGTATTACACCAGATAAACTACCTGAATATGTAGTGTAGTGGTTAGGCTTTTTGCTGTAACAAGCAGAAGGCCAGGTAATTCCTATGTGGGTAGATTCTTAGTGGGTATCTCAGTCTTTCTGCTGGGATATTGTATCCCTCTCATTTTCTCACTAATTTTACCTCTGACACCAGGCAACCCGCCATCTCCTCTCCTTCAATCGGAAAAATCTAGACTTCTATTAAAGATGAATAGGTATTTTTTCAACAAAAACTAGACAAATGAACAAGCTTTAAGGTGACACCAACAAGTTCATATGCCTGGAAACTGATGAGCGTCTGATTCCACCCTGTCGTGACACAAATGGTCTCAATATATGTCTTCTTTATAGTTTTAGTGCAGTGGTGAGTTGATGTTTAGATCAGCCTTTACATCACTCATTTGATTCCAAAATTAGCACGAGACCAGACAGTCAACCTTTATTCTCGAGATATATTCATCTACACTATAAATGAGCTCATTGTGTTTAGATTTACCAGGATGGCTAAACTGCGGCAGGGGGGGAGTTGCTGGGGTTTTTTTTGTTGTTGTGCTTTACTTCTTGTGTGTCCTTGATTTTTAACATTTTTTTAGTAGCCACGAATTTTTCATATTCCACCCCCGACTCTTTTTTTTCAGGGCTTTGTGGTGTGTTTGATGGCAACAGCACGAATGATCTGCTAGGAGCAAATGATGTTTTGTACTCAGTAACAGATCCACAAGAGGAACCAGACACTTTCAGCAACACTTACAGGTAAAAATAATAACTTCTTGTAGATACAGGTTGTTGAGATAATGATAAGAGAGCCTTATAAGTCCTATCACATTGCTGAATTGCTGAGCACTGTAGTCCTTCATAATTTTGACTTTGCACACATGTGGCATCAGTGGCCTAGTGGTTAGGCTCTCAGACTCGCAACTATAAGGTTTTAGGTTCGAATCCCGCCAGGAGCCCGATGTTGTGTCCTTTGGAAAGTCACTTTACACAAATTTTCCTCACTTTACCCAGGCCTCCCCCCTCCCTCCTTTCTCCTCTAAATACTTAAAGGTGGACAAGTAGGCACCGCAATGTGTCCTTGAGTAAGATATAGGCCTACATATATCCAAGCTAAAATCAGCTATGCTTTTCTTCAATCTGCGACAGAGTTTTTAAGTTCCTAATCCTGTGTTTGAATTGGTTGTTATTTAAAATATGTTACATTGTATTGTTTAGGCTACTTTGAATGTGCATGTTTCCACCCTTAAGTTTATTTTACCCAAGTTTCCACAAGGACAAAAATTTTCTATTTCCTTTTTTTTTTTTTTTTTTTTCATTCTAAAACTTAGATTAGAAATATGCTTTCCATGCTTTCAAAGAACGTGCTCGTTTTACATGAGAGGCAAACAACATAATATGCACTCAGACCTTAACCTCACACTTGTATGTCAAATCTCATTGTAAGTACATTATGTACGCATGCTTCTAAAATGTACACATGTGATTGCCAGCAGTCATGCCCTGTGTCTTCAAGATATTTGTACTAAGAAACTGTTCAAAATTTGACGTTTTTTATGAGAACAGAAAGACAATGATGAAGCTGTTTGAGGTTGATGGGGTTTGGTTTGGGTTTTTTCAAGAATGAGAAGAGGAATATCATTTACAGTTGAACCATGGCGCTCTTATGACTTTATGCAATTGCGAGCGCCGTATAACCTCTACTAAAAAAAAAGTTGAACCTGCTCTTACGACCACCTGTGTAAAATAGTCTTTGTACAAACGACCACCTCCCACTCTTCCCCTTGCTTGTTTCTACATTACAATGACACTGTCTGAGATGTCCACCAGTCTAGATGGGTGGTTGGCGGGTGCTCTGGAGCGGTTTGCTTCTTCTTTCCCATCAAACATCTATCGTCCTTATCTCCCTTCCTTCTTTTTTGTGTTTGTTACTCTCATGTAACACCTCTAATCTTCGGCACTTAAGGTGTATATGACGTTATTGTGTTACAAGTGCAGTAAAACACTTACTAAACTAAAAATCAAAGACCCACCAGTCCAAGAAAAGCATTTTTGTCCTGACAATAGGTGACCATCTTGGACAATTTCGACTGGAAGCTGCTCAAAATTTGACATGATGTTATGGGCAGAAAGGCAATGAAGTAGCTGTTTAAAGATCAACTATTTATTATGAAAAGGGAGACAAATATCGTGATTTAATGATGTATTTCGTATTATTTACTTTTTTTTCAGGTACTGTGGACAGTTATCCCATCATGCCTGGCAATCCTGCTATTTCCTTCAGTGTCTCCGGTCTGACTGCAGTGTTCGACTGTCAAATACAGCCGGCTTCTGAAAGTGGAGTTCAGTACATTCTCTCCTGGACCTCGGGCACTGATGTCCTGTCTATGGTCACTTTGACCACCATAAATGTGGATCGGCTTGACATGGCCACACTGTCCCAAGATCAGAGGAACTCCATACTGGACAATGGGGTACCTAACATCATCTTTTTTTTGTTGATCTTTTACTGTTTCCAAATTCGCTTCTTCATATATTCATATATATATATATGTGTTCTGAAGTGTGAAATATCCTCTCTTTTTATGATCCCTCTTACACTGTATATTGAATGAAATTGCTTTTTGTGTCACGAGTACGGGGTAGAATCAGGCGCTCGTCAATTTTTGGGCATGTGGAGTTATTAGTATCATCTGAAAGCATATTTATTTGCCTTGCTTTCGATTTTAAAAATACCCATCTATCTATCTTGTTATAGAAGTTGAGATATTTGCAATTGAAGGAGTTGGGGTTGCATGGTTTCAAGGGTAAAATAAGAAAGAAAATGGCCGCCAAAGTATAGCTTGAGAGTCCTTGAAAACTGGAAATTTACACATTTTGCGCCTCTAATCTATGTTTTTCTGTAAAAATTCACATAGAAATCTGTTTTTGTATGGATATAAAAGGTGTTGAGCCAAAAAACGAAAATTCGATAAAAATTGACAAACTGGCGGAAAATGCCTGTTCCTTTGATTTCATTATTTTGACGAGCGCTTGATTTTACTACGATGCCTCACTTTTTTGTTCTAATGTTCAAAAGATGTTCCTCTTTTTGTTTAGAACTTGCTTCTCTCCTAGTGCTACTGAGATCAGATCTGGCAGAGAAGTGTTGCTTGTTTACTCAAAGTAAGCTTACTGACTGTGGAAGAATGATCCGTGGATGGTTTTCAGGTGCTCTGGTGTGGTTTACTCCGTCTTTCCTATATGGAAACATGCATCGTCCATATCTTTCCTCTTTCTTGTTTATGTTTGCTGCGCTCTTGTAACACCTCTAATTTTCAGACCTAATTGAATTGCAAGTGCCATAAAATGCTCACTAAAACATTAAAAGAAACAAAGTATGATGTTGGTGAAGATTTTTTTTACATATTTATTCAGAATGGCTCTTTCTGTCATTTCTTTTGGCTGTACACAAACTTCCCGATCTGAAAGATTTGCACCAGATTTATCTCACTACCTTGCAGTTTCGCATAGAAAGAAAGATAACATTTTGTGACAAGCTTGCTTTTGAACATTTCTGTCTGACACTCATTTTGCTTTGCTCCCCAGCTTGTCTGTTCTGTAAGAGCCTCCAATCCTGCAAGGTGTGGAAATGGTGAAAGCCCTCCATTAGAAGATTCAGTTCCTCCTTTCGTTCCAAAGGTAAGATAATTTTAACTCCTTATCACCGGCAAGCTGCTCTCTGTGATTTGCGGATGGAACCTCTGTGCCAGTGAGCCGCTGGCAGGCTCATTCCTTTAAGACATATTTGACCTCAAATCTCTTTTTGGCAATTGCCGAAAACAGGTCTGTTTTATTGGGAGTTCTTTCATTAGATCAAGAAGTATCGAAATACTTCACGTTTCACTTATTTTTAATTACCAATTTAGTGTCATATAAGTCAATTTTAGATTTTGAGCCAAAACAGGACCCCAGCATAGTGGGTTTACTCCCCTCGAAGATAAAGAGTTAAAGTCTCCCAATGGTGTTTATTTTGCTTCTAAAATAATGGTCATAATTAAAATGAGTTAAGATTTAGGAATTACCACATAATTCCACAAATCATAATCAGGATATTACTATATGTGTCACAATATGGTGAAATCAGGCGCTCACCAATTTTTGGCGTATGTGGACTTATTGGTATCATCTGAAAGCTTATTCATTTGCGTTGCAAAAAAGTACCCATCTATCTTGAATAGAATTCAAGATATTTACATTTGAAGGAGGTGAGATCGTCTGGTGTCAATGGTGAAATTAGCAAGAAAATGGCCGCCAAAGTTTGGTAACTCCAATAACTCTAGAGTCTTTGAAAACTGAAAAATTACACATGATGCCTTTGATCAATGTTTTTCGGTAAAATTCACATTGAAATATGTTTTTATATGTACATAAATTGACGGGCTCCTGATTTTCACCTTCCATATTGTTGAATATTGTATGTTGCTCAATGTTCCCTGTAGGTATGCACTACATATGCGTAAGCCCACACATACATTCACACTCATGTGTACACATGTACACCTCAGTTACACGCGTGCGCGCGCGAGTGCATGCAAGGTAGCACGCATGCACGCACACGCACGCTAGCACGCACATGCATACACACACACACATAATCACACACACACATACACACACACACACACACACACACACACATAATCCCACATACACACACACACACTCACATGCACACACATACACACACTTGCACACATACACACACACCTTTATAAACTTATTACTCACATACACATGCTCACAAACACACACACACGCACACACACGCACACACAAACACACACACACACACACACACACACATACACTCTCTCTCTCTGTGTCTGTCTCTCTGTCTCTCTCTCTCTCTCTCTCTCTCTCTCTCTCTCTCTCTCTCTCTCTCTCTGAAAAACACACACAGCTTAACATCATTTCTTTTTTAGATTTGTGATTTAGATTTTCACTTATTCTGTTGTCAAGGAATGAATAGATCTCTTATTGCTGCTTTTGTTTATGTGCTGCCAAGGTGACGGGACCAACACCTGATATTTTGTATGAAGGAATAACAACAGCCACAGTGTCGGTCAGCTTTGGCAGCATCACCCGTGAACTTTACTGCTTGCTGAAATATGGGCAGTCCTGCCGCGTTACAGTGCAAGCCAGAACAAACGCGCAAGATTTTCCCAAGTAAGGCCCCATCATGTCACCCAATGGGATGGGTGTATTAACTGTAGGCAACGTACTTTGAATTATTTTGCTTCCAACTGTGTTATCAGGTATCCAGACTTAAAGATCAATCAGACCTCTCTTATAAGCATACATTAATTTTTATAAAAATATATGGCTGATGTTTGCAAACTTTCCAGGGTGAGGGGGGGGGATTGGAAAAAACAAGGGGGTACAGTAGGAAAAGCAAGGGCCCATGAAAGATTTGGAGAAATATGGTGGGTTGAGGAGCAAACCGAATTCATCTTTTTTTTAAACAAAATAAACAAGCCAACAAGACCATGTTTTTAAAAATGAGTAAGTCTTACAAATTATACGAGCATTGGCTATAAACAAAAGCAGAGCGTTTAAACTTTTATTCTGTAGTCTGACTGCTAATTTTCATGATGTCATCTCTCTCTACATATTCTTCTGTAGTGCGTACTACTTTTTGATTTTGCAACACGCAGCTTCAATTTTACTACCCAGTAATAGAAATGTATCTTAGAATTGCAGACAAGCATACATTTTACTCTAAGTTACCATCAAATATGAGTATGTGTATGCTGTCCTTATCCACTCTTTTTTTTTCCTCTTTTACTCTTACTAATGCTGGCCATATCTCACTGTACTATCCACCGTGCCTTCCTCCCCCCTCCCCCTCCTATTCTTTGTTTCATCTGGCATCCTTCTTGTCAGTATTATGATCATAATGATAACTTTCAAAATCTGGATAAATTCCTTCATGTGGTTTGAGAGATGCTTCTGAAGTGACATGTTGTATTATTGTTGGCTCTGTTTTTCTATTCTTGTTGAAATTCTCTTATGAAAGTGTTGTACAATTTGGATTCTGTGTATATCTACATGTATTTTTTTTCCACACCTGTACTGCCACAGAAAATTTCCCTCAGGAACAATAAAGTATTGTCTTATCTTATCCTATCTTACAATTCGTGATGTCTTGACCTTGCCCTTTCACAGCAAATGTATTGGAGGAGCAGAGGTGCCTGCTCTTGTTGTCAAGTCTATTGCAACAAGTGACGCTACATGTGGTGGAAATGTAGGAGCCTCAAGTTCTCAGGTTACTCTGGAGATGAGGGCTGTCAGTGACGGTATTGTCAGGAGCGACAGGGATGTCACCATTGACATCTTCCAAGTGGACACTGTCGCAACTACCACTGAGACAGGAATTCTGCTGAAAAAGTTCAATGTATGAATTTTTCTTTCCTTCGAACATAATTCTATGACTTGTTATTTTATTGTTATGAACATATTATGATGAATTTGCTTTCAATTTGAAGATGCGATGTTCTGGTACTGTTTCTTTTTGTATTCTTTTTGTATCCCAAACGTGATGTGAGGCGACGAGACGAGAGTCTAACAACATCGTCAACCGAGCATGAAATCAAATATGTATTAGGTTCTCACAGATATAGACTTTTGAGGTTAAAGGTTGTGCCTTTAAACTTTTTAGGGAAAGAGTTACTACTAGTGCCTGCCATTTTAAGTGAATAGAAATCTTGCTTCTAACAAATTCTAAAAAACTTGGTTGTTTGTTACATATGAATAATAATCGTGAATTTAGGGGGGGGGGGGTCTGTGGTACACCGTCAGATGAAGTAGAAAGAAATATACAAATGGTTATACTCATATTAATTGTTAATGTCTTAGTTCTTTCAAAGTCATATTGTTTTGCTGTAGAAGTCAATGAAAAAAATAAGAAAGTTTATCAAAATCGTAACTCCAACCCTCTATTCTGTTCACTCATGTTTCTCCCTAACTCCACTAAAAACCATTGGAAAAGGGGAACACTGAGACAATACATAGGCCTACATTCTTTGGGCCTGCAACAATTTCAAGGAAGTTAGCATCTATCTAATTTGTGCTTTCCTTGGTGCTTTATAATCATTTGCCTATTACAATTATAAGAAAAATGTTGTGTCTGTCCATGTTTCTTCACTTTATTCACCTTCTTTTTTCACTATCCTCATCCATCCAGGTAACTGTAAGAAGTTCCGACCTGGCCGAACAGTGTAAGGTTGTTGGAGATCCGCACGTTTTCACCTTTGACCAAACGTAAGAAAGAGAATGATAGATTTGCACTGTACGAGAATCTAGTAGTACTACTGTCGAAAGTTAGCTTTTTAGAGGAGATTTATGGACCAGTCCATGTTATCATTTTAGACTTTCATGATTCATATTGAGATGTTGCCTACAGCTTAGTGTCAAGGTATGTAGCTTTGATAGTTTTGTTTTACTATTATATGAATTCTTTTCTTGTTGTCATCAAGATTTAATTCTTGGTTGTTTTGGGGGGGCGGTTTATTTCACAAGGATGTTTGTTTTATTGATTTCTTTAATGAGGACTTAATTATTGCTCTTTTTTGGGGTATTCAGTGAAACTTTGTCTAACATACATTTTGTGAACTTGTTGCAGAAAATACGACAATATGTTGACGGGAGAGTTTGTTCTCTACAAGCACCAGGATCTGCAAGTTGAAGTGAGACATTATCTAATGTGTACAGTCAGGCACAGATAACACGAACGCAGAAAACTCAAAGTCACAGATAATTCATACAATTTGCGCGTCCTTGATGACTGATATCTCTTTAATTTTTCATTATGATCGGTTAACCAGAATGATACGGATGTCCCGAGCAGATTTGTCCATCCCTGACGTGTTTGAGTTATCCATGCCTGACTGTATTTTTAAGACTGTTTGGGATAGGCTCATTTCTTTAAGGCAAAGATTACATTGCATTGCTGTTTATCATATCAAGAGCATGGTAAATAGTACTTGTGAGCATCTAATACTGCCATGAATAATTAATCCCTTCTTTTCTCATATTCCCCCTTGCCATTGCAGTGCTGGTGATAACTGCTTGATTGGTATCCAGAAAGACTATAAAGTCACAACAAACATTCAAATGTTATATATTTATTGTCAGGGTCGGCATACAATTATCAGTGGGTATTTTTTGTGTGAATACAATGTTTTGTGATAATTGTTTCAGTTATGAGTTTGAAATGTTTCAAATAGAGGTTGGTTAAGACAGGAGTGGCTGAAAAATATTTTAAGATATTTTCTTATATGATTTTGTTTGAGTAAACAATGGGGAGGGGGAACAGACTTCATGGTTTTCGAAAACTGTGTTTCTCTTTTTCCAGTATTTGTTGTGACTTGTTTCATTTTTTAAAACTTCATTATGGGTCTTTTTCGCATACCTTCGACTCTCCAGGTTCATGGCTACTTCTACAAGACTGGAGTAGGTTCCAGTGCATGTGGCTTTGCTGCTCGCGTCGGCAATGATGTTATTAGAGTGAGCAAATGTGATTCGCGCACAGACACCATTCACCCAGTGACAGTGAAACTGTTCTTGGTCGGGGAACTATCTCCTCAAACTCTGGTGTACCAGGAGGATGATGGTGACACTATAAAGGTAAGGCTAGTATTTTCTTTTATAAGTGACACGAGCAGATAGATCATAACATATTGTATCGGAATGCAATTTGCTGTAACTGTCATATCTTGTTTTTTTGTTCAAAGCAAGTGAATTATAAATATGCCAACTCAACCCGGATGTGTTGATGGCATAATTGCAGCCCTGTCTTTGATAAAGTCACTTGGAAACCTCCATTTAGAGCTTACTTGCTCTACCTCGCTGATGTTCAAAAGATATTTTTAACTATTTAAGAATAGGGGTAGAGTAAATTTACTTTATTTATTTTATTGGATTAAAGTATCATGGAACAATTTAGCCCTTTCTTTTTGTTTGTAATCACTTTCCTCATGCCTATGTTTGTTTTCCTGGTTCTGCTGCTTTGTTTTGTTTTTATAAATATAGTCAAAATTGTCCAAGACGGCCACCCATTGACGAGAAGAAAACTGATTGTCTTGGACAGGTTGACCTCTAGGACAGTATCAGTATAATACCAAAAAAATGCCGGGGGGGGGGGGGGGGGGGGGGGGGTGAAAAGTGGTCATGTGTACAGGTGAATGTTTAGGACAGGTGGCCATTGGAGCCCGTTCAACTGTACTTCTCTGATTTGTTTTGGAACATCTGTTCTTTCAATCCCTGTAAACATAAGAACTTGTAGATTCTTTTGCTACTCGTTGTATGATTTAATTTGTTTGCATTTACGTGTGCAATTGAACTACTCCTTTGAGATACAGAAACAAATGATTGGTAAAGAATTATATGAGTTTTTCATAATTCAGTTTGAAATGCATTCTGAACTGAAACTCAGTAGGTTGATATTCTTCACTTTAAATACACCATGTCTCCTCTTTCCTTGAATTATCACTTTTTAGAAATAAAGATTGCTTCTGTAGGTAAGCTACATGCCAGGCTTATTAACGATGTTTTCACATTTCTGTGAATGAATACCTTGTTTTGGGATGGGTTTTTCAGTTAACAATTTTTAATAATTTTGAACGTTTTTTGTGTGAAATTTTTTTTAGGCTAGCCCCCTGATTTCTTGAAAAATAGTCGCATCTGGTCACTTGCTGTCGCTATTTACTTGACAGTCATAAACTTTACCTCTGCAAAATTCTTTGATCTAAAAGGCAGCACGAAATGAAGTAATCCACCCACCCACACACTGCAATTGTAAATACCACCACGTTTGATGTAAATGCTCCCAGGACTGTTGTTATCATTGCCAATCAGGCAAGCTTTACACTATGCTAGAGCATCTATTTCACAATAGACCATGGTCAATCAAGTGGGTCTTATTTTTAACCCTTTGAGCCCTGACTTCCTGAGGCTACCATGCACCTCTGCCTGAGCTCCTGGGCGATATATTACTAACATTCTAAAGATCGTCAGAATCACTTTCCATATCCCACTCAGGGTAGTCCTGGTCATTACAAGCATCTAAATTCAGAAAGATCTTCCAAATAATCATGAACATCCTGTTTAGTAAACACTGTTTTTCGTGCGCATTTTGTCCCAGACAGGCCGCGTTAGAGATAGGGTCTCGCTCTCCAGTGTACCAGTAGCTAGGCATACTGGCAGTTTTAGGCGCCACTGCTGTACCGGTGGCAAGGGCTCAACAGTAGACTGTCAACTAAACTTGCACCATGTAGCCTATCTTTATTTTGATAATACAGTCTAGCATGCACATAACTAACACACACACAGCAAACAGATTTTCAGGTCCCAAATTTTTTCTTGTACATTTATTTCCTTTGTATTTTTTAAAACATGTACAAGCAAAGTTCGTCCATAACTTAAAGATTTCTGCGTCCCACCGATTTCGCTCATCTGTTCTCAATATTGTTCTCTGACGTTCCACAGTAAATGGAGTAAAACTCATTACATACTTTCTCAATAAAGAACTGACATAGCATTCTTGTTGATTACACTTTGCCATTCAATTCTTCCTCCAGGTTTATTTGCCGACTGGCGCATTGATGGAAGTAAGAAGTTCTGTGGATGCATCCATGAATCTGTACCTGAAACCATCCGCTGTAGATATTGGGAAAACATCTGGTAAGTTAGTGGGGTTGTTTTTTATATCCCTGTGTTCTTTTGTGTATTACACCAGATAAACTACCTGAATATGTAGTGTAGTGGTTAGGCTTTTTGCTGTAACAAGCAGAAGGCCAGGTAATTCCTATGTGGGTAGATTCTTAGTGGGTATCTCAGTCTTTCTGCTGGGATATTGTATCCCTCTCATTTTCTCACTAATTTTACCTCTGACACCAGGCAACCCGCCATCTCCTCTCCTTCAATCGGAAAAATCTAGACTTCTATTAAAGATGAATAGGTATTTTTTCAACAAAAACTAGACAAATGAACAAGCTTTAAGGTGACACCAACAAGTTCATATGCCTGGAAACTGATGAGCGTCTGATTCCACCCTGTCGTGACACAAATGGTCTCAATATATGTCTTCTTTATAGTTTTAGTGCAGTGGTGAGTTGATGTTTAGATCAGCCTTTACATCACTCATTTGATTCCAAAATTAGCACGAGACCAGACAGTCAACCTTTATTCTCGAGATATATTCATCTACACTATAAATGAGCTCATTGTGTTTAGATTTACCAGGATGGCTAAACTGCGGCAGGGGGGGAGTTGCTGGGGTTTTTTTCCTTGTTGTGCTTTACTTCTTGTGTGTCCTTGATTTTTAACATTTTTTTAGTAGCCACGAATTTTTCATATTCCACCCCCGACTCTTTTTTTTCAGGGCTTTGTGGTGTGTTTGATGGCAACAGCACGAATGATCTGCTAGGAGCAAATGATGTTTTGTACTCAGTAACAGACCCACAAGAGGAACCAGACACTTTCAGCAACACTTACAGGTAAAAATAATAACTTCTTGTAGATACAGGTTGTTGAGATAATGATAAGAGAGCCTTATAAGTCCTATCACATTGCTGAATTGCTGAGCACTGTAGTCCTTCATAATTTTGACTTTGCACACATGTGGCATCAGTGGCCTAGTGGTTAGGCTCTCAGACTCGCAACTATAAGGTTTTAGGTTCGAATCCCGCCAGGAGCCCGATGTTGTGTCCTTTGGAAAGTCACTTTACACGAATTTTCCTCACTTTACCCAGGTGGGAATGAGCACCCAGCTGTAGACAGTGAAAGATCTTGTAAGCTTGTATGTGTTTGAGCGCTTAATCAGCTGCTTGCTCTGTATGCTTCGGGAAGCCAAGAATGTTTCTGAGTGCTCTAGGGTCTGCTGGGGTAATATTATAGTGTAAAGGGCATAGAGCTTGCTGTCGAGCAGGGGTATGCTCTATACAAATGCTATTTGTTTATTATTTATTATTATTATTATGAATTTACTGCCTACCCATACCACATATGTTCTGCTCAAGGGTCTGTTTCAACTGCCTACCTCAGCTGCAGCCCCGGCAGTTTCGGAGTTCAGAATTTGTATTATATGGCATTATTATCACAGCTATATTTTGTGACTCTTTATCAGTAAGTTATATCACGGTGGGGGGGGTTTTAATACCCATTGAAATGGCAGGTACTTTGGGAATAGCATTGAGGAATATGGTCGGAAGTTTTTTTATTTAAGAGTTTAACAGTATTTAGGTCGCATTTTAATTATATTTTGTTTTCCATAAAAATTATATCTTCACAGAGTGTCAGATGCAGCAAGCATATATTCAGGCTATAAGGGATCTGGGGACATAGTGCCAGATCTGTACTGCAGCTGTGACCTTTCTGGTGTGAGCGAATGTGCCAATTTTGGTGATGTTACTGCTTGCGGTGTCAGTGTATCAGGTGAGATGAATTCACAACTTGAATGTACCTTTTGTTTTGTGGTATCAATGGAATGTAGGCCTACATTAACACATTCAGATTAAGTACAGAGAGAGACATGACAAAGGCAATTAATTACTTTAAACCCTGTATTCCTTGGGGGTGTGCTTTCCTACAGTCAGCACTGATTTTGTAGCTAAGCTCGTTAGACAGAACAGCAGTCTCATCAGTCCCAGTGTCAGTGGACTCCCTCTCTTACTCTGAGCCACTCAGGACATATTTGGACCGTAATTGATACTGTCACCTTCCTCGCTCTCTTCATCCCCATACTCCACATCTTCCCCATAATTTGAAACAACTTGCATATCCAAGTCAAATTTGGTGCCTTTTTTTCAATGATTTTGGAGTTTATGTTTTGCGGAAGCACACTTTGATCAGCAAGACTAGACTGTGTTTATGGACTGTTTCCTGGCCAATCTAGTAATACTAGCATATTTGATACCAGTTTTTTATTCCTGAATTTGAATCTATGCTGTGCTTGTGGCTAAATCTCTGTACCAAAAAATTAGAGCCATGCAGATGATAAGTGGGACAATGTGACATCTGAAAGATAACTAGGAATAGCAAATTTTTGCCCTCTTCCATCACGTCTATGGTATGGCTTCAAGCCAACAATTGCGCATTTTTGTGACATACCACCAGGCTACATCCTGAGGGAATGAAGGGGTTAACAGTGAGATTCATGGTCATCTTCAGCATTCTCCTTTAATTGTGCCTCATATATTCACTGTTGAAAGCCATAAATAACCTTCTTAGTGTCTGTAGGTTTTTTAGATTTTTTTAGGGATAGTAAATATGAGGTATTCTGATAAGAGCAAGTGATATCCAAGCTGCCATGGGAATGTAGCATCTTGCAATGCCTTTTATGAGACAATATATGGCACCAACACTCCATGGAGGGGAAAGTGGTAAAACTCAAGTTCACAAATTCTGTCAAAATGGTAAATCCTCCTGTCATTTAAAATAATTGGTATTTTCACCTTGCATAATCATAACATCTATGTCATTTAGTAACAAGATTTCAGGTCCACAGATTTGTTTAATCACTTCTTTAAAACCGTAATGAACTAAATGATTTACTTTAGAACGGTTTAGAAGCAATGACAAACTACACTATGATTCACACATTTGACTCGCTGTTTTCATATTGCTTTCACTGTAACAGGCACAGATATCACTGACCTCTTAGTGTCAGATTCCACATTTGAACAAAATCTCCTAAATGGGGCTGGAGGGTCCAGCAGGAAGAGAAGACAAGCTAACAATGAGGAGACCTTCACTTATGAACCCAATGACAATCAAAATGTAAGTTAAATCTCCTTTTAAATATCTCTTGTGTATTGCTGTCTTTCAATACTTGCATTATCCTAGTCATGTCTTCAGCCCGTCTAAGAAAATGTAGCCATTTACTCTTTTCACTCCTACAAGAAATGCTGTGGCTCATTTTGATCTTCTCAGGGGGATCAATTTAAGAAATATAATTTATATTTGTTCCCTTCAGAGACTGTAAGTTCTGGCATACTATATTATATGTGAGGCATTGAAATAAAATCAGGGATCTTGTAAAAATAATGAAATTAAAGAAACCAACATTTTTCCGTCTGTCTAGGCAATTTTTACGGAATTGGGAGGGAGGAGTGGGAAGGCTCAACCCTTTTCATATCCATTTGAAAATACATATCCATTTTGGTTTTACTGAAAAATGTTGATCAAGGGCACACAAAATGGAAGTTTGCTGTTTCCATGACCCTACAGCATTAGAAGTCACCAAACTTTGGCCCCCATTTTCTCACTAATTTCAGTTCTGACACCAGACAATCCCCACCTTCTTGAATCACAAATATCTCAACTTCTATTCCAGATAGATATGTTGTTTGTTGTTTGTTTTTTTGGGAGGGGGTTTTCATTACAACCAAGTCTGTAAGATTGTACATTTTGTTCCAACAACTCCATATATGACCAAAATGATGAAAGCCTGACTCCCCCATGCTGTGACATATAGGCCTTTATCTTCTTACTGGAAACCCGAGACATGGGTACATGAATCTTTGTCTGTGTATTTAAACTACAGTCAGAACTGACTTAGACCACCAGCCATTATCAAGGAGAAAAGTGGTTATTTTAGAGAGGTGGACATATTGGAGAGTTTCCTCATAATATTATTTCTTAATTGCAAGTGAGGAAGTACGAAGTGGTCGTTTAGACAGGTGGTTGTCTTGGACAGGTGGCTGTAAGAGCAGGTTTAACTGTACTTGACTTTGTTACTATGTTTTTGGTTGGGTTTTTTCACTCCTATGAATTCATATCTATGTTTTTGGTTTGGTTTTTTCACTACTATGAATTCATATCTTAACATTTACTTTTGTTATGTAAGCTCAATATGTTGAACTGCATGTTGTGTTATACATACCTTACCAGAGCGCAGACAAGCTTCCATTTCTGAATCAAAAATTATGTGAAACTCACTTTGTTTTTACAGGATCCAGACTGGCCTACAGCTTCAAATATCACAGCGGATAGTGCAGAGACTTTCTGTCGTAATTCCATACAGGACCTGGATGGCTATCAGCAATGCCTTCAGTTCTCTTCAGACAACTTTAAGTCTGAAATTCTGAACTGCGTCAGAGACATAAGGAGGACAGACTCACTTCAATGGGGTGTGGCTTCTCTCCAGAGTCTGCAAGCATCTTGCAGGAACCAGATCTCCTCCAATTCTTCTTTATGGGAAGACAGTGATCCTTCCGATGCACTTGTGGCACCTTCTTTAAGTACTATCAATGATAACCTGTGCCCTAATGACTGCAGCAATAACGGAGTCTGTAATCAAGGTAATATCCTTAATGCCTTCTATCTCATTTGTTGCTAAAAATAGACACTGCAGACACTCTTGTAGTTTCTTCTTTTCCATTAACTTATGTGGTCGACAGTTTTCGTTTTGCAAACTCTTATCATTGCAGTGTAGAGCGAAAGAAAAATACTTTAGGGGAAAATAAAGAGTTTAAAAAATGCAAGGCAAACAGCTAACCAGATCAGATATTGATAGCAATACAAAATTAAGTGGACTTGAAGATCTTGGGAAGAACATGTGTAGACTGAGGGCAATGCAGATTTGGAAGCTGGTAGAGTTAACTCTAACACTGATTATGTGATAATTACCAGGAAATGTCCCTTCTTGATATAGAAAAACTTTAATTGTAAAGTGTTTGGTACTCAGACTGAGAGTTTTGAACCAAATCTGTAGAATTATATAACTTCTGATCCCACTGAGTTTGGAGCCTTTAAAATCTTCACGTTGGCCAATTTCAAAACAATGTTTTCAACACAGATGATTTGTAGTTGTACTTTTGAACTGCCATACACTTTTCAATAGAAATAAAGCTCTCACTCTACATTCATTATTCCATTCCAGGAGTGTGCCAGTGCAGCAATGGTTACTCTGGCTCCAACTGTGCCTTGCCACCAAATGTTATTCCATCAGTCCAGAGCACCCAGACCAACATCCTTTGTGCTCGTAATACGGCTGACAACTGTAATCGTGCAACAGTTTTTGGAGCGAACTTTCTGGAGGGAAGCATATGTCATTTAACTCCCATCACGGTAAGCATGATCTCATCTCATGTCTTAACTAGTTAAGAAAATACATCACAAGGTTGTCACTCTGATGGATTGTTCCTTCATTTTATTGGAAGACCTCCTTTTTATCTGATGTGCCTTTAGACCACTTTATTGGAAATTCTCCTCTAGCAGTTTCATTTGGTTTGCAATAGACCACTCTTTAAACTTATTCACAAGAAGACTTATCTGATCCACCTCCATATATATACTCTAGTGAAATCTAGACTCTGGCTAGTTCAATGAAAACAAATATGGCTTTAAAGAGTTGCAGGAATATGGAAAGAAAGTAAAGATATCTTGAGCAGATACTTCATCAAAAGAGAATGTTTTGAAGCAGCTTGGACTAACATTGTTAATGCTATGAGTGTTTATCAACATAGACAAGGTCGGGAAACAAGAAATGCCACAGGCATTGATCAGCACGAGCTGTTCATTGAACAATAAGTCTTTTTCGGGTTTATGAAGTTTCCAACTTTGACCCTAGGCACTGGAGACAGTGGAATTTTCTTACATATTTATAGGCACTGAATAAACTTGTTGTAGCCACATTTAAATATAATATCCAATGAAAATTTCAGTCTTCCTATCCAGTAAACATTTTTTGGCCTTTGTGCTGCAAGAAGTTTCTTTGTACTGGATTCAGTCTCTGCTGTCCAAATACTGGGCATCTACCAGTTGACCTTACTGGCAACAGCAGGGCTTAGAAAGACAGATGTACTGACAATAAACCAGAAATTCTATCATACACATTGGGATCCCTTCTTATGGAGAAATAAAGCAATTTTAAAGAGTCATAGAACGAAAACTTTGGAAAAGAAATGAATTCAAACCTGTAAAGAGAACTTAGAGTAGAGGTAATGACTGAAAAGAGGATGCAGCACTCTGAATACAAGATGGAGAAAAATAAGGTTTCCTCAGGGATACAGATTCTTGACAAGCAACCTAAATTGATGGTTAGTGAATTACTGGAGTGGTATGGGGTAAATATATAACGCATACCGGTACCCTTATTAATTTTTTTTACATTGTTTAAAATTTTTCACTTTACTTGGTCATTAGGTTAGCTCAACTGGCATCACAGATCAAAGCCTGACTGCAATCAGTAACGCAACTTACCGGAACAAGTATCAGGTTCTGTGTGGGATACAAGAACCAAACAGCTACAAAATCCGAGTGAGCAATGATGGACAACGCACAAGTCCAGAGCCAGCCTACTACATTGTCTACAATTCGGAATGTGAGAACTGTGACTTCAGCGGAACAGATGGAACCCCGATATGTACCCAGAAGGTGAAGACACGATTGGCAGCTGATTGTTCTACTTGGGATAACAGTTAACTTGAGAATATTTTTTTAAACCATAGTGATATCCAGTTACATGGCCTCTGTTCAGTTTTTATTGATTTAGGGGCTTTAAAAAAAAAATCATTTTCAGCAAGAGGTTTTTATAAGTAAAACTATAACCATAGCCTACCCAGTGAAAGAGGGAAATCAAAATGTTTTCACTGAGACAAACTAGTTTAGAACTGGAGAATAACTCCAATTTGGTTACATGGTATAAATTTACAATCTGGTCTTTTTTTTTGTGATTAAAAGTTGGCATGGAGAGATCAGTGTGCTTTGAACAGACTGAGTTTCGATTTAGATCAAGTGACTGAATGTACAATATACTTTTCATTACTTTGGTTTTTTTCCTCAGCCAAATACGTGCTTGATAAATGATGTGTGTTACCAACAAGGAGGAAAACACCCGACAGATAGCTGCCTCCTCTGTGATGTAAACTTTTCTTCCAGCGAGTGGGCACCCTCTTCAGGTATAAATTCATAAGCTTTTAGCGTTATTTTTTATTATAGTTCTTCTGTGCCTACGTCTGAATGAAAATAATCTGTGTGTGTGTGTGTGTGTGTGTGTGTTTGTGTGTGTGCCTAAATATATATTGCATGAGAAGAAAGGAAGTAGTAAGAAAGGTTTTGAAAATGGGTATTCAAATGTAAAGCGCATTGATCTACTTTTTTGGAAATGCGCTATATAAATGTTATGTATTATTAAGATTATTATTATGATTATTATGGTTATTATTATTATTATTATTATTATTATTATCTTTGGTCCCAGAGTTGTTTTTTTTACTTTTTTGACTTACTGCGTGGGTGGTTGGCGGGTGCTCTGGTGTGGTTTGCTCCTTCTTTCCTCTGAACAGCTATCGTCCTTATCTCTCCTCCTTCTTTTTTACGTTTGTTGTTACTCTCTTGTAACACCTCTAATCTTCGGCACTTATATGACCTTATTGTGTTGCAAGTGCCGTAAAACTCTTTACTAAAACTAAAACTGACTTACTGCAAAACCTGATAAGATGTTACCCCAGAAAGGGTCACTTCCAAATGTGAGTCAAAATTAATTAAAGGGTATATGTCTTGAATATATCATGTTGCTGGAAGATTCATTAAAAAGATTTGTCTTGCTCTGCAAGTTTTTAAAATATGTCAATTCAGTTCAATCTGAAATAGCTTCCTTGGCTATTTGCTCTCCATGAACCAATATTTATAGGGAGGTTGATATTCAGTATGGTAGTTAATTAAGCTTTTTGGTAGTGTACTGTGGGAATACTATCAAAAATTTTTGTACATTTTCATAATGGGTTGATAGGTGGGTGAGAGAGAGAGAGAAGGGGAGAGAGAGGGAGAGAGAGAGAGAGAGAGAGAAAACAAGAGAGAGGGGGGGGGTAATATATAAAAAGGGTTTAGTAGAAGAAAATCCTTTGTGTTACAAACTTCAAAATGTATATCTACTAAGCTTCAAGACATTGATTGAAGCCATGAAATATAGATAGAAACTGACTTGATCGGCACGAAACAAGAAATACTTTTACGGTGTACGAAAAAACAAACTGAAAGTGAGAAGCAACCACCTCTTAGTCCTTCCCCTGTAATCGCCCAAAGACCTACTTTTCACACACAGGCACGCAAAGTCATGACGCGCACTCGCTACGTAAAAATATTAAACCTGTATGTTGTCAATTGGTACCTTGCTAATGACGCTGTCCCATGCAGATGAAGTCTAGAATCAGATATTGTACACTGTTTTAAACACACAGCCATATACACAATGAACTAATTTAGCCTTCCCAAGGACACAATTTAAATCCTTTAATGCGATTCAAACCCAAAATATTACAGTTGAGAGTCTAAGAGTGTAACCACTAGAACACCATGCAGCAGTTTGAAATCTGGTGGAGAAAAATGTCAAGAACTCTTGGTCATTGCTGTCACAAGAAAAATTAATTACTTCCAATTTTTTTACTTACCTTGTAAAGTTGGGTCAAACGAAGTTATTCTTTGGTCTTGGGACAGTGGCTGTATGACTTATCTAGGTTTCTTGTACGTAAACTATTGAAATTGGCTCTGGCAAGATCACTTTATAAGTAGCCTAACTCTACACTATTTTTGGTCACTTTTCACTCTTTTTCTAGAAAGTACTAGGTACAGCTTTCACCAATAGACTATATAAACTCTGTGCTATGATGTGTGAGGCATCATGGGAAATCAGGCCCTCGTCTAAATAATTAAATCGAAGATATCGGCATTTTTCCGTCAGTTTGGCAATTTTGATCTAATTTATAGTTTTTGGCTCATCACCTTTTATGCCCATTTATAAACACATTTTGTGAGGATTTTACTGAAAGACGTTGATTAAAGGCACAAAAAATGTACATTTTCAGTTTCCCAGGACTCTGAAGCTATGAAAGTCACAAAACTTTTGAGGCCATTTTCTCCCTAATTTTACCTGTGAAACCAGGAGACCCGACCTCGTTCAAATGCAAATATCTCAACTTCTATTCAAGATAGATTTGTGTTTTTTATTTCATCAATATATAAATAAACAAGATTCATGATGATACCAATAACTCCAAATGCCCCAAATTTGACGAGCACCAGATTCCACCATGTCGTAACACACGCAGAAACACACACACGCACACGCACGCACACACACACACCACACACACACACACACACACACACACACACACACACACACACACACACACACGCATGCACACACACACACACACACACACACACACACACCCACACACACACACACACACACATACATGATGCGTGGACTTATAGACAGACATGTACAGTTGAAATTGTCTGAGACGGCACCCATTGTTGAGGAGAAAAGTGATTATCTTAGACAGATGAACGTCTTGGGGGTTTCCAGTGGCTGAGTGGTTCATGAGTTCAGGCTCACAAGGAATGTCAAGCATATGTGAAGCGTGCTAACAAAATAAGTTACTTCTCGGATTCAAGCCTTAAGGAAATAAATAAATCATGTTTATAGGTGAAGTTTTTACAATTAATAAGTACGAAATAATAAATGTAAAAGACAGGTTATAGTTAAAGAATATGGCATCAATAGAAAATCTACCAATTTGACCCTAATGTCGATTTTTGGCCAACATCTCCATTTGTGGATAGTGAAAAGTAACTCATTTTTTTAGCACGCCTCACATATTGGTGACACAGCGTGTTGATGGGCGAGTCACTGGGATCTGTCTTTGAACCAGATATGATACCCCTAGCTCATAAAAATAGGGTGCTGCACAGTGGTGACCAGAAATAGCGTATTTGGAATATATTATCTGCATGTTTCAGTTTGCATGTATCTGTGTGTTTATCTGCTGTAGGGCCTAGTTGTAAACTAAATTTCCCCACAGGAATCGATGAAAGTGAAATCCATTCATTCATGTATGATGTAGAAGAAAAAAAAAGGGAGGATGGAAGTGGGAAATGGCCGTTTGTACTGGTGATTATCTTGGACAGGTAGCCATTAGACTCAAGTAGGTGGTTGGAGGGTGCTCTGGTATGGTTTGCTTCTTCTTTCCTATCAAACATTTATCGTCCTTATCTTCCCTCCTTCTTTTTTATGTTTGTTACTCTCTTACTATAACACCTCTAATCTTCTGGCGCTCATATGACCTTATGCAGTTGCAAGCTCCGTAAACTTCTCTTAAAAGTAAAACAAGACTCTATGTAAATGCAAAAGTGAGTTTTTGTGTTTTCCATTGTGTAAACCACAGATGGAGCATGTAGAAGCACAGTGCCGACCTCAGTTGGGCCGATCACAACCCGACAAACAAACACAGTGAGCCCCGATGCAGTGGAGTTCAACTCTCGCACTATCATCATTGTGTCTGGCTGCGTGGCAGGCCTCCTGCTCATCATCCTTGTAATTGTTGGTGTGATTCTCATGATACGGTAAGTGCCTTGTGGTTGAGACTTTTTGGGGGGGGTAATTAAGTGTTTTACGGCGCTCGCAACTGCATGCGGGCGCTCAGGACGCATTAAGCATTTTTAGTTTGGCGGGAAATTTTGAATTTTGCCAGTGTGGCGGCTGAAGCCTACTCTTATCCATTGATTTTAGGACAACCAAGAGATCTTTAAGGTGCAAAACTTTCACACGAGGCCTCCGACATTTTTCACCCTTACAAATTATCCAAGAAGGGTAGGTGCTCGATCTTATCTACCCTAAGATCAGGGGTTGCTGAAAGACAGCAGTAAGAAGGAGCCAGGAGAGTGGCAGTAGAAAGGCAACAGAAAGAGTCAGGAACCCAGAAGAGGGGGCGGGGGCGAATAGAAATTGGAGACGAAAGCAGACGACAAAACATGATTTTGGAGCAGGAAAGGAGGTGGAAGGAGAAAATTTTAGAGAAGAGAATTTTTGCGTGGCTGTCAGGTTTCGAATTTGAGACCTATTGAATGAGAGGTGAACACTGTGCCTCTCGACCACGAGAGCCTCTGGTTGAGACTTTTAACTGAAAAGTGAAAAGCCTGCTATTAGTTTAAGATCGCCTAGTTACGCATTCATACACATATAACATGTACTGCGGAAAACCCTGCAAAAAATGTTGTCACAGGCTGTCACAAAATCATTTCTCCATATATTCTCCTATTTGAGTTCCTCTTTTTTTAAATCTAGCAACGGATGAGATATCTGTGATGAAAACATAAAAAAATTAGAGTCTTCATTTCGACTGCTCATTGTGAGTCTCCATCATATGTTACTTTTCAAAATGTCATATGGCGGAGCCTTACAGTAAGTAACGGAGCCTTACAGTAAGTAATCAATTTGATCCTCTCTGAGAAAATTTTGAATATCTAGGAGATGCAAGTTTTTCTCTTTTTTCTTTAGTTTGACCAGCTTGTTGAGAACATTTTGAATAGACTTCAAGGATGAGAATTATCATGGGGAAGTTAGAGCCCTAAAGCTGAAACAGCTAAGCACCCGCAAGAATGAATTCTTTCTCATGCAATCTATAAATGAGTTATTTTCTTCATCACTGAAGTCGTGGTCAGTATATGATTATAGTGTCTCTCCTAGTTGAGTCACATAATCAGTACTTACTTCTATAAATTTGATTGGATTAAGCAGAAGATAGGCAACTGTTTTTGTTCCGTGAGAAAATGGTAATAAATTAATTTGTAAACTGGCTTTCTAGTCGTACTCTATGTATTCTTAATTGTAGTTATTGTATTATTGTTTTAATGTTATTCATAATGTTATCATTGATTTGCTCTTGCAGGAGAAGACGATTGCAGGCTTACAAGTCAAGAATGAATCGCTCCGTGTCAGATGAGGATTCCCAGTTTGAGCGAGTGTTCAATGGATCCTATGGTATTCGCACAGACAAGTCATTGACATTCTACAATCCCTCCATGCACCCATCGGATCAGTACTACGAACATTCAATATAAAGATCATTCTTTTCGATGTATTATAAATAAGATATTACAGTCTCTGTAAGTCATTCTATACAATAGTTATTATGCCTTAATCATATTTCAGTTTTAGCTCGTTGATCAAAAGTTTTGCAGCCATGTATAAAGGACTTTGAATTTTAAAGTTTCATCATTTTCGGGACGAGGTTTAGGATGGATTGGGATGGGGGAATCAATTTTAATCTTATGTTATGACAACTCCTGATTGTTTTTAGTTCCGGGAGTTTCCAAGGGTTTCCTTGGCCTGGTTGAATACTTTCAAAGGTTAAGTAAATACAGGACTTTCAAAGGTTGGGTTGGATTTTTTTTTTGGGGGGGGGGGGACTGGCTTTAGTGTCGCTATTTACGAAAACATAACTTTACAGTGTACACAGAGACAAGAGCAAAGAGGAGCACGGTGTAGAGCTGCCGAGGCTTAGAACTGTTACTGCAGTGCTCTGCTCTTAAGTTTTTTTGTAACTCTTGTATTCTAGAGTGTGTTGATTATTAGACGACCCGTCCCCAAACAGGATTTAGACAGAATAATGAGAAGGCAGATTGCATTGTACAGCTTCTCTCTTTTTGCAATCATTTTCATTTATACTAGCTTTCCTTTGCTGTCAAAGAAATTCTGAATGCAAGTCAAAAACATATAAACAAATTTCATTAGAAGTCTTTATCGAATTTTTTTGGTCAGTTTCTTCCTCTGGCTTACATTGTTTTAAATAAGATTGTCATCATAAGAAATATATATGTACTTTTAATGATTCATGTAAAATGTAAAGATGTAATTCAAATTCTACCAGATGTCTCCCTATAATCTGCATTTGTACAGTGATTAGAATATTTGATAAATTTAATTTTTGTGATCAGCTAATATGATAATTTAAACACTGGATCACATTTTCAGGAAATAGCTTACAGGTGAAAGAAGCAAAGATGCACTCAGATTCTTTATTATAATTAAGTCGTTGTTAACTAAACTGAGTGTTTGAAATATCTGTGATAGGCCTTTTTAGGTGAATGATGCATTTTTTCAATCACTTGCCATATCAATTCATTTCACGATTTTCTCAAATAAACTTTTATCACAATTGTGTATGAAGTGTGCTATTTGATATATAATATATATATACAGTCGAACCTGTATAAGACGGCCACCCGTTGTCAAGGAGAAAAGTGGCCGTATAAGACAGGTGGCCGTCTTAGGCAGGACTGATCCAGATGAAGAAAACAAACCATTCCTTTCTGAGGTCCCAACCGAAGGTTGTTGCATTGTTGTTGTTGTTTTCGCTGGGTTTTCTTTTCTTTTGTCGCTGCTTTTGTGCACGGGTGACAATAAAACGAAATGTGTCAAACAAGGAGGATCAAGTGCTAGGGTACAACAAACACACGTACTACCACTCGGAGAACAAGCAACGCTTCTGTCTCAAGTTCATGCTGACGTCCATTGTTACTTTGTTACAGACTGAGTAAACAGTGACCACTCATCTCACTTGCGATAATTTGTGTTTCGGTTCTGGGCGGGGCTTACGGGTTATGAGGGATCACACGCTTCCCTCCCCAGCAGCTGAAAATTAATTTTGTTACCTATTGGTCAACAGTGGGAGGGGCCTTCACAACATGATCAGTTGGAGGGACTACCTAACAACGACAGGTTTTTAGACTATGACGGCTCGCCCACAACGCCAGGGGCCAATGCTTGATTTCTGACAAAACGTAATGGAGTCACTAAGGTGGCCGTCTAAGACAGGTGTTGTTGCTTTGTGTGATAGGGGTTGTGTGTTGAAATATGGTGGCCGCAGCCGCATTGGACAGGTGCCCGTTTTACACAGTTAAATTATATAGAAAAAACGCAAGGGGGGGAAATGGAAAGTGTCCGTTTGTACAGGTGACCGTCTTATAGAGGTGGCTGTCAGGGCAGGTTCGACTGTATATATATATATATATATATATATATATATATATATATATATATATATATATATATATATATAAAATTATATATTTGTCTTCTCCGCTTAGTGTTAGAATTCCAAACAATATAACTTATAATATAAGATAACAGTTTGTCTGTCAATGTTTGACGATAATCAATGCATCTGCAGAGCAGAATATTTTCCAGGTGGAACAGAAGAAAAGAAGATTAAGGTGACTTATGGCTGCTGCTATGGCCAATGAGACCAATTCTGGTAGAGAATAGTTTGCCACACTTTGAGTATTTAAATATTTCTCGCTGGCTTCTTTCTGGGTTTCAGCATTTCTAAATCATGAATCGTCAAATGATTTGCTGCTGTCTATGATTGTTGCCCTCCATGGGTCTGTCTGGAGCTAGGCTTTCCCATGTCAAAGATTGATGTTGAAGTCCTTCAGCAACATCTTCAAAACGTCTTAAGTTATTTTGGCGCACTGACTTTACACTTCCCTGAGGACAGCTCTGAATAAAATACTGCCCTTGGGAATTTGAAATCAGATGTCCTTACGATATGGCCAGCCCTGTGAAGTTGAGTTCTTTATTTGAGCTTTAAAGCCTTTCAACATTTGCCCTTCTGAGAACTTGGGTGTCTGGTATTTTGTCCTGCCACCATATTGATGCCAAGAATTCTCGTAAGACACATAATATTTTATGGGAAAATGATAGCACTTCTTGGCATGGCTTTGGTACAGTGTCCAGGTCTCAGCACTGTACAACGAGTTGGGAGAACAACAGCATTGTAATTGTAGACTTTCAACTTTGTGTCTGTGTGAATGCAGTTGATTTATTCATCTGTAAAACCATTACACCATCTATGCGAGCATAAGAAGATAGTGCACAGGCCTACTGCCAAGATGTTTGAATATATTCTCTGTCAAAACATAATGGAGTAACTACATGTACAAGTACAAGCATCTGTAATGATTATAAATCAAGAAGAGCTAGGTTTAATTCCCATTGTTTTGTTTCAGTCAAAATATGTGGAAATAGTTTTTTTCACTGAAGAAAGGATAATTTCTTTTTACATGACATTGCACTATTTGCATGGAATGCTAATATCGTAAAGAAAAGAAAATAAGCAGCTAATCATAATTTGTAATCTCATTGAGCAAAGATGAAATAATCAAACGAGTTTAACAGTTTAAATATCTTGTATGTGGGGGGTTTTTTTAATTATATCTGAGGCTAAATATGTTCACCAAAAGGAAAATAACAAAACAGAATATTGCAAAAACTATAAACCTAACTTCTATGAAATGAGGCCAAACTCTCAAAATATATTAAGATATTACAAATATACTACCAATTAAAAGATCGAATTCTTAAGGACTGTATGTAGTCAACCCTTCTTTACGGCTATGAATCCTGGACAATCACCAAAGACAGCAGTGATAAAACAGAAGCAACAGAAGTTTGGTTTCTAAGAGACTTGAAAAGTTCATTAAACAAAAAGAAATCAAATGAAGAAACTTAGTATAGCCTCTGACAATACTGAAAGAAGACGCTTGGACCGCTCGCCAATTTTTAAAAAAGCAGTTACAGACAAGTGCAGTTTTCTGGGCAGGCCTTCGTTTGGGTCGACGTAAAGGCTGTATAACTATAAAACAAAACATATTGCTCTTTCTGGAAAAATAGATGGCAAGGGGGGGGTTCTTCGGGGGGGGAGCAACGAAGCAGTAGACCCAAAACAACTACATGTAGAGTATTGCATGCCTGTGTGGGTCGCCCGCGCTCGCACTGTAGTGCGGTCAAAAATTCGTGGCGCAACTTGTCACAAAATATCTTTTTAACGGGTGAATTGAATCAATTTGTCTTAATTTAATCATATTTTTCCACAACAATTGAGGCTATAGATCTTAAAACTGTTCTTCATAAATATATAAAGTTATGCTTCAAATCTCCTTCACGCAGAAAATTGAATTATTCACAGCACTTCCCTGCACTTCTCAGTCTCACACATTTTGCGTACGCATAATAGGTATGTGGCTTACGTCACAGCTCACCAATGACACTTTTTATGGCTTAAACTAGTTACAATAAATTATGTTCATAGTGAGCACTAAATTTTCTCAAAACATGCCTCTAATAGAGATAATTTCGATATTAGAAAAAAAAAGGGCGGACTTTTAAAAGCGATATAGATGTAGATCTAGTGTCATATCTGTAGGTCTAAACCTTTTCCTTTTAAAATCAGAAGAAACCACCCTCTGAAATTTTTTTTTTACTATATTAGTAGTATAGTAGGCCTGTTTATTAAAGGATTTTCTAGAATACAGCTAACAGATGTTTACAAAAATATTGATCTGTCAAGACAAATCGATACAAGTCGGTAGACTTTCATGAATGCAAAAGCTGGAGAATTTATGTTCAATAGCTGAGGAGACATAATGTGACAATAAGTTGCACCACGAATTTTTGACCACATTACACAATGTATAATAAAACAGTTTGGCTGTGAATGCTGGACAATCACTAAAGACAGTGAAAATAAAAATAGAAGCAACAGAAATGTGGTTTCTTTGGAGACTGCAAAGAGTTCGTGGAAGGAAAAGAGATCAAATGAGGTAGTGCTTGATGAAGCCCACGTGGGACGCTCAATATGTTAAAAACAATCAGGAAACGACGAATGCAGTTTTTGGGACACCTGAATAGACATGGTTCTTGAACATCTAGCTCTCACTGGCAAAATTGAGGGCAAGCGAGGCAGGGGTAGGCCCAGAACAACATACTTAGGGAACCTAAACAAATGGGTAACAGGGAAACGTAGCTTTTTTTTAGAGCATCCGAGCAAAGGAATAAGCGGAAAACCATGATCGCCGATGTCTGTTGCAGATCTGGCACTGGATGATGATGATAATAAAACATAAGGGAGAGACGATTGATGCATGAGCTGTCCGGGACGCTTGGGTGGACATAACAAAGTCCTTCAACCCTGCTCTTCCCGAAAACATAGAGTCTAGACGGTAAACGAAGCAAGAGTAAAGTTGTTCCTGCATTCGATCCGGACTTTGGGGATTGCCTTGTATTAGTGAGACAACTTCCTGGGCCTTCGGCATACTGTAGTAGGGTGGCCAGTTCCTTGAAGCAGGAGTATACATTTAATAAATTTAAAGAACAGCACAAGTACATCGTGGGGCTACTTGGAAAACCTGATCAGATGAACGATGGGACGACACCAAGATAATAATAACGTTTTTGTTTTGGATTTGCTTTCTCTCCAAACATACGACCAAAGAAATGAATGGAGAGCCAGCCATGATCGCTGATCTCTTTTTTAGATCTGATTTTTTTTAATGATGACTATGCGAGTCTTTGTCTTTTTGCTGGAATACTGTGTCCACTACGCTCATATATTATATTATGAGACATTAACAGTCATGAGGGATCGAAAGTTGTACTGCGTCACACACAAGAAGGAGGGCGGGGCTCTCGTGGCCTAGAGGTTAAGGTGTTCGCCTCTCATTCAAAGGTCGCGGGGGTTCGAATCCGGGTAGCGACCGAAAAAAATGTCTTCTCTAAAATTGTCTTCTTTCACCTCCTTTCCTGCTCTCTAGCAATGTTCTGTTGTCTGCTTTCGTTTCCTCTTTCTGCCCTACCCTTTCACCTCTTTTTCTCACTCCCCTGGGCTTCTGACTCTTTAGGCAGCCTTTTTACTGCTACTCCTTGGCTCCTTCTTACTGCTGTCTTTCTGCAACACCCCTGATCTTCTGGCAGGAAAGATCTACACCTAGCCTTCTCGGACAGGGGCGAAAAGTCTCGGAGGCCCCGTGGGCAAGTTGCGTACGTCCAATATCCCTTGGGGGTCTAAAATCTATAAGAGTAGGCTTTATATATATATATAACAACCACCCAGACAAAATTCAAAATTTCCTACACACTGAAAATGTCTAATGTGTCCCGCACGCTCATATGACCTTATGCATTTGAGAGCGCCGTAATGCACTTACACTTTCAAAAAAACAAACAAACAAAAACTGGCTGGCCGGCCGCAACGATATTCTGTCCCCACGGTTTTATGCCAAAAAAAATATTCTGAAATTATGCAAACCGAGCCCAAAAATGTGAAATGATGCGATTTTGTTAATTTCAACAAAGGATGATAAAGGAAAATATTCCGAAACTAT